CATCGGAGGTTTTTAAACAGAGGCTGGATGGCTACCTGTCAGGAGTGCTTTGATGGTGTTTTCCTGCATGGCACGAGGTTGGGCTGGATGTGTCAAGATGACTGCGTTGGTCAGGCCCCACCTGGAATCCTGTGTCCACTTCTGGGTACCATAATTCAAAAAGGATGTTGAAAAACTGGAGCGTGTCTAGAGGAGGGTGACTAAAATGGTGAAGGGTCCGAAATTGTAGGAGCTGAAGTCCAAAATATGTGGAGAGGCTCTAGATCAGGACCCACCTGGAATAACACTGTGTCCAGTTCTGGGAACCACAATTCAAAAAGGATGTGGAGAAACTGGAGCGTGTGCAAGGGAGGGCAACTAAAATGGTGAAGGGTCTGGAAACCATGAATCCCTATGAGGAATGACTTAGGAAACTGGGTATGTTTAGCCTGGAGAAGAGACGGTTAAGAGGGGATATGATTGCCCACTTTAAATATTTGAAGGGAGGTCATATTGAGGAGGGAGCAAGGTTGTTTTCTGCTGCTCCTGAGAATAGGACCAGGAACAATGGATGGAAGCTACAGGAAAAGAGATTCCAGCTCAACATTAGGAGGAACTTCCTGACAGTGAGAGCTGTTCCACAGTGGAAGATGCTCCCTTGGAGAGTAGTGGAGTCTCCTTCTTTGGAGGTCTTTAAACAGGGACTGGATGGCCATCTGTCGGGGATGCTTTGATTTTGAGTTCCTGCATGGCAGAATGGGGTTGGACTGGATGGCCCTTGGGTCTCTTCCAATTCTATGATTCTATGATTCTATACAGCCAGGATGACTGCACAGAACACTGTTGCCTTTCCCACTGAAGCGGTACCTATTTATCTCGGTGTACTTTTACATGCTTTCACACTGCTAGGTTGTCAGAAGCTGGGACTAGGGATGGGAGCTCACTCCACTTGGGCCTCGAACTGCCAGCCTTGTAATTGTCAGAGCCGGCATCTTAGCCACTAGGTCCCAGTTATGATATTGCCCTTAGTCAGGCTCAGAATGGGATGACCTTTTGAAATTCCTCCTGGACAGAAGGTTTTCCATGTCCTGGGAAAGAAAGACATCTGGTCACCCTGGAGAAGAGAAGAGAGAAGATGCTGAAGCACCCCAACTTCCAGCGCCTCCCGGTGTGATCTGCACCCCTTGAGGGAACTAGATGTTATTGCTGTATGTTATATTTTACTGTTGTTTGATTGATCTCAAAGGGGTGGGATATAAATTATTATTATTATTATTATTATTTATGACCTTCTGCAGGGATTGCTGGGCTCACATTTCCCTGGTCCTTCCAATCCTTCCCTCCACAGATCTGGACCCTTTAGCCCTTTTATGGCTCTAGACAGTGACCATGCACCTGCCTGGCTGGGCTCTGTTTTTCGGACTAGACCCCGGAGCAAAAGGCTTGGGGTGGAAGACAGAATCCTCCCCCGGCCCAGTTCCCCCTTTACCCAACTCAACTTCTTTGAACCCAGTCTTTTCAGAGGAAGGCTGATGCTCTTTTGGTTTTTCAAACATGTATCATCACATCCAAAATGCACAAAGCAGTGATAGCTTTCTTGTTGCGTGCCTTCAAGTCTTGTTGACATTGTGGCATGCCTTTAAGTTGTTTCCAACTTATGGCAACCCTTAAGGTGAACCTCTAATGGGGTTTTCTTGACCCGATTTCTTCAGAGGAGGTTTGCCATTGCCTTCCCTTGAGGCCGAGAGAGTGTGACCCAAGGTTACCAAGTGGGTTTCCATGGCTGACCTGGGATTCAGACACTCTCCAGAGTGGTAATCCAACACTCAAGTTACTACACCAGACTGGCTGTCCTACAAGTCTTATGGGTGACCTATCACAAGGTATTCTTGGCCAAATTTGTTCAGAGGGGGTTTGCCATTGCCATCCTCTGAGGCTGAGAGAGTGTGGCTTGCCCAAGGTCACCCAGTGGGATTTACGAGCGCGTTGGGAATCAAATCCTGATCTCCACAGTTGTGGTACAAATGTTCAAACAGCTTCACATTGAATCTCCTTCAAGTCTTATGGCAATTGTTTGTTTTGCCCATACTTTCATTTGAGGCTGAGAGAGTGTGACTTGCCCAAGGTCACCCAGTGGGTTTCCCTGCCCAAGCAGGGATTTGAACTCAGTTCCTCCAGAGTCTTATGCAATGCTCAAAGCATGGCACCATGCTTCCTTCATTGGGCCCAACCAAAATCTAGCTGGAAAGCTTTTGAAACTCCACTGGCTTCTTCTTCAGGGCAAAAGTGTTAAGAATCATACCAGAGGAAAAAGAAAATGGACAGTGTTAATAATAATAATAATAATAATAATAATAATAAATTATTTATATACCGCCCAATGGTTGCCCAATCCGGGCAGTTTACAACATAAAACAGTTACAGGCCTGCCTTTTTGCAAGCTCCGCAACCTGTCCTTTGTGCATGTTGGTTGGTCCCATAAAAGTATCACTGCTCTGTGGATGTTGGGTGGTATTGTACTTTGCTATATGGTCAACACAGCTACACCTGGATATATTTCCTGATATTTTTTCCTAATGCTATGGCCCCAAGGAGGAAGACAGGGACCCCAGTATCATCCCCTGCTTTAAAGCGACTCCGATCCCCCCAATCCTAACTCCATGTGTCCTTCCCAGCAGCCATTTAATTCAGTTAAAGAAATTGGGATGTGTCGGGGGCGGGTGACTTCTTGGACAGAAGGGGTCAGCACCCCCCAACTCTCCTGAGCTTCCCCATTGCAGAGAAAGGGGG